AAATGAACTATTTCATTCAAATTTGATTTAGATCTACGTACACTATGAAATGTATACAATACAATTTTTCCGGCCTAAACTCATAAAATTTATTTTATTTATTTGGATTCTAGATCTAGATATTCTAGATTCATCTATTCAAATAATACATTTCTATACTAAAGTATTTCAGGCCTTAATTACTTTATTGAAATCTTTGTTTATCTATGCAATTTGCTAATCTCTATAATATATAAAGCAAAGTTGTCGGGTGCCCGATAGGGCACTTCCCGGCGCCGCAGGCGCTTCAAATTTGGCAGGATCTTGCCTTGGGGCGACAGAACACGGGGGCCGGTTGGCCGTTAAAGTCTACGATGATGGGGTCAAAACTGACCTCGACTGACCGGCGCCTTATATGAGCTATAAATCGAAAAAAAAATGTCCACGGAGGAACCTCTTCATAACTCTTGAGGTCGTAGACCGACCCTCGGGCGAATTAATTAAGCATTCAAATTCTCAATGTTTTCGAAAGCCTAAGCAAAGCTGGGCAGCATGCCTAGTTTAAGAATATACGAGAAAGTTTAGGGGGGATCAATCACGCTTTATTTTTATTTGTATCATGTCTAGGCTTCTTCGTCAGATGCTTTTGATCTGCTGCTTCACATTAGAGCATTATCAAGCTTAAAATCCACAACAACTTCACCTGTCTATTCCCACTTCACCTGTCTGTCCCAACTTCACCTGTCTGAAGTGTCTGTTCCCACCTCACCTGTCTATTCCCACCTCACCTGTCTATTCTAGCCTCACCTGTCTATTCTAGCCTCACCTGTCTGTTCCCACCTCACCTGACTGTTCCCACCTCACCTGACTGTTCCCACCTCACCTGTCTATTCTAGCCTCACCTGTCTGTTCCCAACTCACCTGACTGTTCCCACCTCACCTGACTGTTCACACCTCACCTGTCTGTCCCGACTTCACCTGACTGTTCCCACCTCACCCGACTTCCCAACCACACATGTATGTTCCCACCTCACCTGTCTGTTCCCACCTCACCTGTCTATTCCCACCACACCTGTCTGTTCCATCTTCACCTGTTTGTTCCCACCTCACCTGACTGTTCCCACCTCACCTGACTGTTCCCACCTCACCTGACTGTTCCCACCTCACCTGTCTATTCCCACCTCACCTGTCTGTTCCCACCTCACCTGACTTCCCAACCAAACATGTATGTTCCCACCTCACCTGTCTATTCCCACCTCACATGTCTATTCCCACCTCACCTGTCTGTTCCCACCTCACCTGACTTCCCAACCAAACATGTATGTTCCCACCTCACCTGACTGTTCCCACCTCACCTGTCTATTCCCACTTCACCTGTCTATTCCCACCTCACCTGTCTATTCCCACTTCACCTGTCTATTCCCACCTCACCTGTCTGTTCCCACTTCACCTGTCTGTTCCCACTTCACCTGACTGTTCCCACCTCACCTGTCTATTCCCACTTCACCTGTCTATTCCCACCTCACCTGTCTATTCCCACCTCACCTGTCTATTTCCACCTCACCTTTCTGTTCCCACTTCACCTGTCTGTTCCCACTTCACCTGACTGTTCCCACCACACCTGTCTATTCCCACCACACCTGACTGTTCCCACCTCACCTGTATATTACCACACACCTGTCCCCTAAGGCAATGCTGCAGCTACTATGGTAAGAGTTATGGGAGTTGCTCCCCACGGAACTAGCAGTAACAAAACATTAGAACGGACACAACGTCCCTACATATGTATAGGGGTCCACAGTCGAACAGACGATTGGATGATCAAAACATTAGAACGGACACAACGTCCCTACATATGTATAGGGGTCCACAGTCGAATAGACGATTGGATGATCAAAACATTAGAACGGACACAACGTCCCTACATATGTATAGGGGTCCACAGTCGAATAGACCATTGGATGATCGTGCAACAAACACAATGCCTGTTCAGGGAGATGAGAAGAGACAGATGTAGCCCATGTATCAACCCCCCCCCCCCTCTCCACACATATGATGGGCCTATACAACATGGCATTAGTGTTTCTTTCAGAATTTTTTTCTCCGGGGGGGGGGGGGGGGGGGACTGATAAAAGATGATGCCTGGAAGAAACTCTGCTTGGCATACGCAGTGTCGCAGGAGCTGGTCAAAAGAAACCAGAGTTGGTACCGGAAATCCTAACGCATAAGCTGCTCCACTAATGTTTGAAATGGTATATTTCCCTCATAGATGGTTTGCTGTGCTCATGGTTTGCTGTCCTCGTGGTTTGCTGTCCTCAGCTAACAAACCTCAGCTGGTAGCTATGTATAATTTATGTTGGAAATAAAAAACATAAACACAATCATTAATGTGGTTTTACTTTTATTTACTACAAAAGTTAATATTAATATCAATAAATATTAGAAAATTAAATAAATAAATAAAAATGTCTACATGACTAGTGACGCGTATAAAAATGACCCTAGCGTCAAGATTAATATGTTTTCCTCGGGGGGGGGGGGGGGGGGGCTAGAGTCCAGCTTCCAAACTTCTTGTTATTGGGTGGACACTTTCGATTGCACAGTTGAATGTGCAGTCCGTAGGTGACATTCATGGACAACCCCACACAATATCACAACCACACCGTAACTGCAATGGCTTAAAGTGCAATAAAACAGAATGACGTCAAAACATGATTACACACTGCTTTCATTTTGTTTATCATTTGAAGCTATCGGCGTTTTCTAAGCGTTGTCGGGCAAGCATGAATTGGCTTGTCTAGTCTAGCATGGGCTTGATGTGGTTTGTCTACTCTAGCATGGGCTTGTGTGGCTTGTCTAGTCTAGCATGGGCTTGATGTGGCTTGTCTAGTCTAGCATGGGCTTGATGTGGCTTGTCTAGTCTAGCATGGGCTTGATGTGGTTTGTCTACTCTAGCATGGGCTTGATGTGGTTTGTCTACTCTAGCATGGGCTTGATGTGGCTTGTCTAGTCTAGCATGGGCTTGATGTGGTTTGTCTACTCTAGCATGGGCTTGATGTGGTTTGTCTACTCTAGCATGGGCTTGATGTGGCTTGTCTAGTCTAGCATGGGCTTGATGTGACTTGACCCTCTGCTCGCCGGACACCCGTCCTCATGTTTGGCCAGTAAAGACATGCGTGAGAAAGTTTTATTGCACGACTTACAGCTGTAGCGCTTGACGTCCGCGTGAGTTTGGAGGTGGGCGCGCAGGTTGGAGCGGTCAGCGAACGCCCGGCCACAGTGGCTACACCGGAAAGGTTTCTCCCCCGTGTGGGTGCGGATGTGTCCCTGTAGGAGCCAGGGCCGCGAGAAGGCCTTGCCGCAGACGTGACACTTGCAGGGCAGCGTGTGGGTGCGGATGTGCATCTTGAGGGCGCCGAGAGAGACGTAGGTCTTGTCGCAGTGCTTGCAGCTGAACTCCCTCTTGACGTGGCTGCTGCAGTGGAACTGTTTGTGCTTGCTCAGGCCGCTCACTGTGCTATAGCTCTTGCTGCAACACTCGCAGCTAAACCTCACCGGGCCTGAGCGCTTGAGCGGCGACAAACGTCCGCTTTGTCCGTCCATCTGTACGGTGTGGGAGTCGTTGTCGCCGTAGCTTGAGCTGCTAGTGCTAGATGGTGAGGTCAGGCAGGGCGGGGATGTGGGGGACGAGCTGCGCCCAGACAGGAGAGAGGTGTTTAAAATTGGGCATGGCTGTTTACAGCTCTGCTCACAGTCTTGTAGAACCACGTGACTTTTGATGGCGCCCAAATGCTGCAAGTGTGGAGATGCCGGGAATGGACGAAAAGCTCCAGCAAAATACAAGCCTGGCTGAGCCATTGTTTTCTGTAGCCACGCCTTTGATAAAGCCGGCTCCATGAAATGATAGGGACTCAACTGGGAGCAGCCCAGGGCCGAGTAGAAACTCGGCTGGAGGGCGGGGTGGAGGTGCTGCACTTGTTGCAGGAGTCTGACGTAATAGCCGCCTAATGCCGGGTGCATGGGAAAACAGGGCGAGCTGAGTTCTGGAATCTTCGTGGACAGTGTGGGCTTTCTAGAAATGGCCTCTGACGTTTGCATCGGTTGGTTGCACAGTGGGCGTGAATGGTCAGTGGCGTCAGTAAGTGGATTGTCTGTGGCGTCAGTAAAACCAAGTTTTAAGTTGGGAGAAAAATTTCGTGCTGACTGCCGAGTTAACTGGTGTGATTTTTCCCAAAATTGTTGATGAAGTTTTCTATCGTCATAACTCTGGTGCTGCTGTGACGTCATCTTGGCTCCTTTGTTCCAATGTGCTGCACGAATCGCTGATGAACACGTGACGTTTTCCATTGGACGGGAGACCAGCGATGTACCCTTGTCTGGGTGCTCCAACCCCGGACTGGAGCGGCTTTTAAAGATTCGAGCAGCTCCTGTGTCGCCACTGAGACTAAGAGAAAAACTGCTGTCCTCACCACCATTCTCCCCATCCACTTGCCGGGTGCCAATTTGTTTTTGTTTGTCGCTTGTGTGCTGGTTCTCCCAGATGGCTGGCGGCGTGCTCAAATTGGCGTCGTGTGTCGGAGATACAGGCCGTTGTGAGTGGTCTGTTGCGCCTCGAGATCTCGGGCTCGCATCTGGCGGTGCCTTCGTTAGACCGGCACAATCTTCCTCTCTTGATGTCTGCCCTTGACCTTTGCTCGATACAGGTCGCCAAAGAAAATCTCTGACGGGGGGTGACACGGTGGGGGTGTTGTTCTGACGTTGGTTTGCCACAGTAAACGTGCTGCCTCCATCAGGCCCCAACAGGCCTTGTGGTCTCTTCTGTGTATCGCCGGCTGGTGGGCCACGCGAAGGAGTTTGGTTGCTTGATGCCAACCGGTCGTCTGGTTCTGCTGACACGTTGGTCACTGGTTCCATGGTCTGAGGTTTGCTTCTCTCTATGAGAGTCACTGGGCTGGCGTAACGTCTGCAGCCTGGAATAAACAAGGTTAGATCTCACCATCAACATTCCCTCTAGTGGAAAAAGGCTAGTGTTCAACTTGTACTTTTTGTGTGCGGTGTTCTAAAAGTCTTATACAAGGATATATGTATTTTACAAAAGGACTGCGCGGCAGGTTCGAAACTACTGCGCGGCCGCGCAACCGCGCAGCTTAGAGGGAACACTGCTCACAACTATTGACATGTACAGTTTGCCGTAAACTAATTTTGTGTTTGATGTCAGTTAACATATGTTGTGTTTGATGTCAGTAAAGAAATGTGTTTGTGTATTTGAAATGGTTGACCTTAGAATGAACGAACTGACCTGTGGAATCGGATGCTGCCAGACCGAGCTTGTCTACGCTGAAGACATCACCTTTGGCCCTCATCTGGTCCCTTGAAAAATGTTTCATCCAGAAGTTTCTGTGGGCGACAACACATGGGTACAGGAGTTTAGTAGCTTCTAGGGTACGTGAGGGGAGAGGCAGGAATCATGTCCAGGTAACAAGGTTAAATGCAAGCGATCACTCGATATATTTCTAAATTCAATAACAGAAGAGGAGATAACTAGCTAGACGCGATCACACGACCATTCTGGGAAGGTGTGGTTTACAGTCTTAGAGCCGGTCGAATTGGTGAAGGCTATCAGGAGCAGATAATATAGTTTTTAAACGTTAGAAACTAAGGGGAGTGCAAGATTAAGAACTATCCTTCGCTGTATCAGCTTATTGTTGTCTGTAAATTGTGGTCATGGATGGCTACTTCTACGGGCCAGATAATCGTCTTTCAGATATTGCGAGCTACCGATGGTGTTTTAATTTAAGCCAGTGGCGTAGCGAGGTCGGGTGTCACCCGGTGCGGCACTTAATGGTGTCATCCCCCAGAGGCGTAGCATCCCTTCCCGGCGTCCGGGGACAAACTTTCAATTTTGGATTTGCACCCCCCCTCCCCCACCCTTGTCGGGATTTGTCAAATTTGCTCTTAAAATACTTTTTAACACTCGAATTAATCACTTAATTAACTGGAATTATTATTTTTCCCTATGTATTTTGCTATTTTTGGTGTCACCCGGTGCGGTCCGCACCCCCCTCGCTACGCCACTGATTAAAGCAAATATGTTTAGTCGTGTCAACTTCATAAATTAGGAATAACGAAAAAGTAGAAAATAAAACAAATATAAAAAAAACATTAATAGCAATAAGTTTTAAATGCACTGAAAGTAAGATAATGAAACTAATTTGCTGTCTTCAATAAAAGCTTTGGTTGCTCATGAAATTTTTTACATATTTTAACGACAAAAACTTTTATTAAAGAAAGCAAATTAGTTTTATTTTTTTATTAGCCCTCCCGGCCAGGTCCTGCTCTGGCTTCTGTTAAGGACCATTACCTGTGTGCTTAGTATCATCATATACCCGGCATTGCCCATCCTAACCACAACCAACCAAAACAAAACAAAAACCGCAAACATAACGCAAACACAATTACAAATACAAACACAAACGAAAACAAAAACCTATCAACAAACACAACCACAACCACAAACATAAATACCAAGAAATAACAAACAAAAAAAGCAAACGAAAACAAACCAATTCCAAACGCAAACCCAACCACAACACAACACAAAGACAACACAAAAATAACACAACACTACACAAACACAACACAAACACAACACAAACACAACACAAACACTACATAAACACTACATAAACACAACAACAACACAACACAAACCGGGACTGCTATTATTATATAAAACTAGAATACCCGTCATCCGTTGGATAACTGTGGGTTTCGGGGGTCATCCATCAAAAAACATCACGTCTGTCACTCAGAGGCATAGCGACCCTTCCCGGCGCCCGGTGACAAACTTTTCGATTTGAACCCCCCCCCCCCCCAAGATTTCGATTTTCAACCCCCCCCCCCTCAAACTTTTGATGTGCACCCCCCCCCTACTCAAACTTTCGATTTGAACCCCCCTCAACCTTTCAATTTATTTTTCCAAACCATTTTGGCGCCCCAACATATGTCACTTATCGTCACAAAAAAACAAACCCCACATTCAAAAATTTGTTTATTATCTTTTAAAAACACCGAAAACACCGATTTCGGACTATCCCTTCATATACTGACGTCACATGTGACCTACTCAACTCTACTTCACCTGCCCAGTGTCCCGCCAAGTCTCAGACAACATGTTTTTATCGTTTAAAAAAACGATTCCAGCCGAGCATGTCTCTGACCACACTATCCTTTCATATGCTTAGGACAAAGAAACAGATGAACTCTACTTCACCTGCCCTGTATCCTGCCAAGTTCAGATAGGCAACTTTATCATTCACATCTAAAAAAAAATTGAAAAAAAAATATCATTGACATATTGGTCTAGAACCTGTGCCACCCGCATGAGAGCCACCTACACTACCAACTTAGCTATTTACTCGTGACGTCACAAATGAGTTTTTATACTATACTTTGAGTCTCCTTATGCAACTTGATTTACGCGCATAGATCTAGATCTAAGTCTAGTAGTAGTAACTTTCAAATTAAATTTTATCTTAAATTAGCCAAACAAAGCTTTATATAAAATAATTAAGGCCTGAAATAGATTCTAGATGTATTAAGGCCTGAAATAGATTCTAGATGTAGAATTTACATTAAGTCTAGATCTAGAATTTACATTGAGTCTAGTGACCTAGATCTAGGGGTCTCCAAACTACGGCCCGCGGGCCGGATGCGGCCCGCGAGGTCCTCTCATCCGGCCCGCGGTGATCTTTTTGTCCACGGAAAAAAAACGTTTGTTGGAGTTGGCTGAGGAACTTGCTCAGAAAGAAACGACATGCCTGGAAGAAACTGGCCCCCGAACTGAAATTTGATAGTTAATGCGGCCCTCGGACTGAAAAGTTTGGAGACCCCTGATCTAGATCTAGGCTAGATTTATAACTTTCCTTCGACAGCTGATCTTTAGATCTAGAGAAATTTATTGTAAAACTAAATGAAAAAAGACAGTTGAAAATTGATATAAGTGTTGGAACGTAATAAATACAGCAAACGGACGTATTGTTAAAGTTATGATCGACAGAAAATTAGATTTAGAACGCGTTAAACTTTTGAATGGGAACACAATTTTCTTCGATAGACGCCGCCATCGTATTGTACTAAAGAGTAAACAAAAAACTGTGACGTCACGGTCCCGCCGAGTGTAGTGGTCGTTCTAAACTTTTTTTTTTAAAATAGGGTTACTCTACGTATGAATAAATCAATAAATTAATTAACGTCTTTAAATAAATGTGTGATTAACAGTCTGTCTTAAAACAAAAAATTTCTCTACCTACATACTATTTTACAGCTCTCCACGATGAGTGCAACCATGCGCAATAGTCAATCAGCCAAACAAAAAAAAAACAAACAAAAAAACAAACAAAAAAACAAATAAATATTCAAACATGTAAACAAACTTGACTTTTAGTAGTATGTAGATAGATTGTATAAATTCTTTTAGTTCGGTGCAGGTGTCTATAAAAGAGCTTTCTGGTGCGACCGACCAAAACGAATTCCCCTTCGTGCGCAAAAAAAGACAGACAAAAACGAATGCGCAAAAAAAAGCACAAATAACAACCTGCGGGAATTCCCGTTCCCGAATAAAGATGTCTTTTTTTTACGTCAAATGTCTTTGATTAAAACAATAATTAGTAAACAGTACGTTCAGTGTATGAAATAAATAAAATGCAGGATTAAAAATACCTACCATATGCACTTGATTAATCCGTACTAATTATGTAATTCTTTTTTTTTCCAACACCAAAACAAAGTAATAAAAAGTATTTTTTCCCACCAGATTTAATGCCTTTAAAGGGAAGTAATTTTGTTTTCCTAATTTATCAAAGGGAAGTAAATGCTAAAGGACTAAATATAAATAATTTTCAGACATAATTAGAATTTTTGTAAAAGATGATATTTTAAAAAAATGCTGTTTAATCACCATGCCGACAATTATTACTATCAGTTTGAAAAATTGAAAATTATTACACAACACTTTCAGTAATAATTTTTTAAACCATGAATTTAGACCATGAGCACTTTAATTATCTAACTTTTGAATCCATGGAAGTATCGTATTTTCTTATATTCCTTTGTAATCCACGACAAATATAATTACATACATACAGAATTTTCAACTTTATATATTAGATTTTTAGTGCATTTGAAGCTTGTTGCTATAAAGTCTTTTTTTTTTTTTTTAAATATTTGTTCTATTTAGTGCATCGCTTTCCAAGTTACAGAGCTGGTGTCCGCTGAGAAATCCCACCGCACCCCAAAGTGGGGTCAGAAGTCTTACGGCAAAAAACCAACTGATGCGGTGCACTAGGGTAGTGAGCTCAAATCTGGCGGAAATTCACGGGTCTATTTAAGAAATTCTAGATCTACGTACTTTTTCCTGTTCCTTTCTGTCTAGCTACTGAGCTAAGCTTGAGAATGTAGTCGGCATGCGAGAGAGAAAGAGATGTAGTGCAGGACAAAAGTAGACACATGGCATGACCTACCTGCGATTATAGTAGTCCAGTCATTTGGCAGGACAACAGGACAACTGCTGTAGGTGGCTACTTGTCACAACACATGTAGTTGATGTAGGATCCTTTCTCGTAGCGTGACTTGGGCGCTTTAACGTTCGACACAAATCAGAAGCAAATCTCCTTCGCTACCATTTAAACCAGCGGACACTCCTATTGTTGACAACCCCCTCCCTCACACACCCCCCCCCCTCCCATTGTGACCTCCTCAAAGCTGCCTTTTGTGGTCTCTGCTGTCGAGACATCTTCAACAAAACGGAGTCGTCACATTGGTCGCCGCGAGAAATCGATGAGTAGAAATAAAAGGAAGCCCCGCCCCCTGTGGCTGGGATTGGAAGATGGCCGGCAACAGGTGTGGACAAGTGGCTGAGGTGTTACACGGGGGTGTGAGGTGGGTTAGAGAAGTTACACTGGGGGTGTGAGGTGGGTTAGACAAGTCTGGGGGGGGGGGGGGGTGAGGTCGGTAAGAGATGTTACACTGGGGGTGTTAGGTGGGTTAGAGAAGTTACACTCAGTGTCAGTACTTTGACTATTTATCATAATGAAATAATGTGTTACCCATCCTCCTCTATAAGCTGGTATAGAAACAAGCTAATCTCATGACCCCATACAAGTAACAAGCTAATCTCATGACCCCATACAAGCTGGTATAGAAACAAGCTAATCTCATGACCCCATACAAGTAACAAGCTAATCTCATGACCCCATACAAGCAACAAGCTAATCTCATGACCCCATACAAGAAACAAGCTAATCTCATGACCCCATACAAGCTGGTATAGAAACAAGCTAATCTCATGACCCCATACAAGTAACAAGCTAATCTCATGACCCCATACAAGCTGGTATAGAAACAAGCTAATCTCATGACCCCATACAAGCAACAAGCTAATCTCATGACCCCATACAAGCAACAAGCTAATCTCATGACCCCATACATGAAACAAGCTAATCTCATGACCCCATACAAGCTGGTATAGAAACAAGCTAATCTCATGACCCCATACAAGCTGGTATAGAAACAAGCTAATCTCATGACCCCATACAAGCAACAAGCTAATCTCATGACCCCATACAAGCTGGTATAGAAACAAGCTAATCTCATGACCCCATACAAGCTGGTATAGAAACAAGCTAATCTCATGACCCCATACAAGCTGGTATAGAAACAAGCTAATCTCATGACCCCATACAAGCAACAAGCTAATCTCATGACCCCATACATGAAACAAGCTAATCTCATGACCCCATACAAGCTGGTATAGAAACAAGCTAATCTCATGACCCCATACAAGAAACAATCTAATCTCACGACCACATGCAAGCAACAAGCTAATCTCATGACCCCATACAAGCTGGTATAGAAACAAGCTAATCTCATGACCCCATACAAGCAACAAGCTAATCTCATGACCCCATACAAGCTGGTATAGAAACAAGCTAATCTCATGACCCCATACAAGCTGGTATAGAAACAAGCTAATCTCATGACCCCAAACAAGAAACAAGCTAATCTCATGACCCCATACAAGCTGGTATAGAAACAAGCTAATCTCATGACCCCATACAAGAAACAAGCTAATCTCATGACCCCATACAAGCAACAAGCTAATCTCATGACCCCATACAAGCTGGTATAGAAACAAGCTAATCTCATGACCCCATACAAGCTGGTATAGAAACAAGCTAATCTCATGACCCCATACAAGAAACAAGCTAATCTCATGACCCCATACAAGCTGGTATAGAAACAAGCTAATCTCATGACCCCATACAAGCTGGTATAGAAACAAGCTAATCTCATGACCCCATACAAGAAACAAGCTAATCTCATGACCCCATACAAGCAACAAGCTAATCTCATGACCCCATACAAGCTGGTATAGAAACAAGCTAATCTCATGACCCCAAACAAGAAACAAGCTAATCTCATGACCCCATACAAGCTGGTATAGAAACAAGCTAATCTCATGACCCCATACAAGCAACAAGCTAATCACATGACCCCATACAAGCAACAAGCTAATCTCATGACCCCATACATGAAAGAAGCTAATCTCATGACCCCATACAAGCTGGTATAGAAACAAGCTAATCTCATGACCCCATACAAGAAACAAGCTAATCTCATGACCCCATACAAGCAACAAGCTAATCTCATGACCCCAAACAAGCTGGTATAGAAACAAGCTAATCTCATGACCCCATACAAGCAACAAGCTAATCTCATGACCCCATACAAGCTGGTATAGAAACAAGCTAATCTCATGACCCCATACAAGCAACAAGCTAATCTCATGACCCCATACAAGCAACAAGCTAATCTCATGACCCCAAACAAGCTGGTATAGAAACAAGCTAATCTCATGACCCCATACAAGCAACAAGCTAATCTCATGACCCCATACAAGCAACAAGCTAATCTCATGACCCCATACAAGAAACAAGCTAATCTCATGACCCCATACATGAAACAAGCTAATCTCATGACCCCATACAAGCTGGTATAGAAACAAGCTAATCTCATGACCCCATACAAGCTGGTATAGAAACAAGCTAATCTCATGACCCCATACAAGCTGGTATAGAAACAAGCTAATCTCATGACCCCATACAAGCAACAAGCTAATCTCATGACCCCATACATGAAACAAGCTAATCTCATGACCCCATACAAGCTGGTATAGAAACAAGCTAATCTCATGACCCCATACAAGAAACAATCTAATCTCATGACCCCATGCAAGCAACAAGCTAATCTCATGACCCCATACAAGCTGGTATAGAAACAAGCTAATCTCATGACCCCATACAAGAAACAAGCTAATCTCATGACCCCATACAAGCAACAAGCTAATCTCATGACCCCATACAAGCTGGTATAGAAACAAGCTAATCTCATGACCCCAAACAAGAAACAAGCTAATCTCATGACCCCATACAAGCTGGTATAGAAACAAGCTAATCTCATGACCCCATACAAGCAACAAGCTAATCTCATGACCCCATACAAGCTGGTATAGAAACAAACTAATCTCATGACCCCATACAAGCTGGTATAGAAACAAGCTAATCACATGACCCCAAACAAGAAACAAGCTAATCTCATGACCCCATACAAGCTGGTATAGAAACAAGCTAATCTCATGACCCCATACAAGAAACAAGCTAATCTCATGACCCCATACAAGCAACAAGCTAATCTCATGACCCCAAACAAGCTGGTATAGAAACAAGCTAATCTCATGACCCCATACAAGCAACAAGCTAATCTCATGACCCCATACAAGCTGGTATAGAAACAAGCTAATCTCATGACCCCATACAAGCTGGTATAGAAACAAGCTAATCTCATGACCCCATACAAGAAACAATCTAATCTCATGACCCCATACAAGCAACAAGCTAATCTCATGACCCCATACAAGCTGGTATAGAAACAAGCTAATCTCATGACCCCAAACAAGAAACAAGCTAATCTCATGACCCCATACAAGCTGGTATAGAAACAAGCTAATCTCATGACCCCATACAAGAAACAAGCTAATCTCATGACCCCATACAAGCAACAAGCTAATCTCATGACCCCATACAAGCTGGTATAGAAACAAGCTAATCTCATGACCCCATACAAGCTGGTATAGAAACAAGCTAATCTCATGACCCCATACAAAAAACAAGCTAATCTTATGACCCCATACAAGCTGGTATAGAAACAAGCTAATCTCATGACCCCATACAAGAAACAAGCTAATCTCATGACCCCATACAAGCAACAAGCTAATCTCATGACCCCATACAAGCCGGTATAGAAACAAGCTAATCTCATGACCCCATACAAGCAACAAGCTAATCTCATGACCCCATACAAGCAACAAGCTAATCTCATGACCCCATACAAGCTGGTATAGAAACAAGCTAATCTCATGACCCCATACAAGAAACAAGCTAATCTCATGACCCCATACAAGAAACAAGCTAATCTCATGACCCCCATACAAGCTGGTATAGAAACAAGCTAATCTCATGACCCCATACAAGCTGGTATAGAAACAAGCTAATCTCATGACCCCATACAAGCAACAAGCTAATCTCATGACCCCATACAAGCTGGTATAGAAACAAGCTAATCTCGCGACCCCATACAAGCTGGTATAGAAACAAGCTAATCTTGCGACCCCCGAGAAACGACATGAACCAACGAGACTATCGAGTGGGACAAGTAAACAAGGATTAGAGACAGCTAGTGGAGAAAATCAATGGTAAACGTTTGCTTGAGCAATACGTTATAGTCCTTCTCACCAGCATCCAACAACTTTACGTCTGTCACCAGCATCCAACAACTTTACGTCTGTCACCACCACCAACAACTTTACGTCTGTCACAAGCATCCAACAACTTTACGTCTGTCACCACCACCAACAACTTTACGTCTGTCATTTAGAATGAATTACTAAAAATGAAAATTAAAACAACCATAAGAAAAAACCTACACAACAATAAGCTTTCAAATGGACTGAAAATAACAAACTTTACTTCGATAAACTTGCTTTCTTTTTAAAAAAAAGCGTATGTCTCTAAAAATATCTCTTACAGGTGATATTTTAACAGAGCCTCGTTTTACGATCGGTGCCGGTAAAGTGACGTCACATCTGTCTAAGACATTACTCCTCGACACACCTTTTCTGATGGTATCTACCCACTCCCTCCCTAAACGTCACACAACGTCACAAAAAGCCAGACACCCCCCCCCCCCCCAATATGCAGAGGTGTAAACTCTATAACCAGTAACTAGAGACTATAAAGAAAAGCGTGAGTCACTGCAAGATCTATTGGATACATTTAATAATATGTAGGAAAAGACGCTTTTCTCTACAGTTTTTTAAATAATAGTGAATGATTATATATTTAAAGAAAATCATATATATTTTCTTATTTTTAGTGCATTAATACATACAAGCTTGTTATTAAAACTCTACGGGGGATGGCAAAGTGGGATATAGATATGATTTTTATTCAATTTTTATATTTTTAAAATAGAATAGAGTCTCGAAGAAAAAAGAAGTGCACGTCAAGGGAACATCAAACAATGCGTTTATAATAGTGCGGAACATTAGTACTTTATAAATTCGTAAACGTTTTTTTTTT